GTGGTTTATTGCTGATTTTACACTACCCACAACTTAATCACATCAAGTTGGGAGCTTCTGGTACCATGGCCCCAGGAGGATGTCAAACACACCAAGCTTCAAGGAAGAGATAGCCGTGTCGAATCAAGCTAGGCCCTTCGCAAGGGAAATCCTTTTCGCTGCTCTCGGTGACGATATCCATGTTCACCTGCAATATTTGAATACTCTGATGTGTCGGGTATTGATATTAGTGTCGTATTAACGAAGATGTTGGTACCTCGAGGGGCCCAGGGGTAAATGATGGAAAATGATACAGAGCCATTTTTGGAAATCAACTATGGCTACCTTTATATCCATCCATCAACTATGGTTACCTTTAATTTATAATGATATATCCATCCATGGTTGAACAGCCTCGTATGAATTATCCATCTATGAATTACCCCTGAACCCCCCTGAAATCAACCGTGGCTTTTCTACGTCGAAATGCCCAAGATATTAGTGCGGCAAGTATGTGCACATGTCTGCTGTATCTATCTCTCCAATATTAGGGCAAGCGGGCTCCAAATGATCATCCCTGGCTCCATGGCTAGCAGATTGTCAGTATTTGCCGGGGGTATCCCTTATAATTATGTAACATAGTGCAATATATAAACTGGGGTTTATGAATCCGGGCTTGACATTCTAGCACAGCCCACCTCAATCTTCCCATCCATGGTGTTCTTCAATGCATCCCGGAGACACTTGGCTTGGTCTCCTGAAAAATCTGAAAACGAATTTGCTGCTGAATTTTGAAGCTTCAAGGTGCCACAACCACAGAAAAGGCATGAAGTGCAAGCTAGTATTCAAACATCCATGGTGATTTAATGCTGATCTAAGGGTTTAGTTTAGTTGGGGATATAACTAAGTAACGAATAATGTTGTGATGTAATGGTGCTTTACACCTGTGGCAATTATGTGGCAATTTAACATAGCTATGACAAATGGCCCATTTACACCTCCATGGGCCATGGTCTTCCAATGTTTGGGCACAACCCCGGCCGTCGTGAATCAAACTGAACCGAGCTCTACAGCAAGACTTAGCAACAATGATGATGAGTGGCATATTCTTACTTTCATACTCTCATCCTGGTTTCATGTAACCAATCGGACATGTTCAGAATTGTTCAGAACTAGGTGCCCCCGAGAATATGCAGACAAACACCTAACATGCTAATTATATCTAATCATAATGCTTCGTATATGCTTCTTTATTTTTAGTATTTTTAATTTTTTTAATATGCTCAAGCAAATATCTAGGACATGCTCATCACCATCCCAACCATCCCAGGAGAAAAAGACGGCTTGGCGGATGAGTCACCAAGAACACTGTGAAAGTCAGTAGAGACCATCCCATTTCCATGGTTAAAAATAGGCAATGTTTGAAATTTGTAACCAGCCAACTTCCAAACTAAAAAAACAGAAACCATGGTTCTAATATGATACTATATATAATATATATACATGATATATATAGCTTTTGTTGGGACCATTCAAGGGATGTTTATGGATGTTTGATATTGGGGTGATGGGTTTGTTATGGTTTAATCCAGCAACGATCGGTCCTGTGGGATCCGGATGCCACAAGCTGAGCCACTGATGGGATACGAAGATCCTGGCAGGGAGGCAGTCTAAGTCATGGGGGTATCCCCAACTCATCCAAAATTACAGTAGACCATTTTAGTATTGAAACCCATGGTTTTTGTTGATCCCCAATCTTAAGAAAAATCCACCATATGTCTGTTCGTGATTAATTCGTCTACAAACTGAGGTAACCTCAATTCTGAAGGAATCGAACATTTGAACAGAATAGTTCCCGTTGAGATACCAATTTGGAGGGAAAATGCATGCTTTAGCAAAAGCAATATTTAAGAACCGCTTGGCAGCAAACATCATGGTTTGCTTAAATGTGGCCAAGATAAAGATTAAACTTGATTAAACCAGTGACTGCAGAGGAACTCAGTCCTGCAAAAAAAGCAAATAAGCAAATATATAATCATCATCATATGAACATATGAATATTGACAAGACATTTGCTACCATTGACGTCCAAGGTTCACAAACATGTCAGGCTGCCATTGATGCAAGAGGCCTTTCCGTTGAAGTTCCTGAGCGTCTAACCGTCCAACCGCGCAGTTAACGCGGATTGGGTAGCTGGGGTACCTACGTGTAGATCATTTTCCTGTGAAATGCAGATTTCCGTTGCCATGCCTGATCATGCCACAGAAATACTAGCATTAAATGTAGCAACACATATCACAAGGAATAAATAAACAAATATTGCCGGTTCCAAGCTCTATGCTGAACTCTCCGCAGGTCCTTCCTTCATCCCAGAGGCAAGTTTCCGAATGCGCGTCTGGCGGGCCTTCCATCTCCAGAAAATCCGAGACCTGCCAGCAGATCCCTGGAGCATCCCTGCTAGAACCAACTCACGCGGGTCCCTGTGATATCCAAAATTTCCAACAGGTCATGAATGGCTTAATGAATCCCAGTACCTGCTAGTAATGACTAACAGTTTGCTGAAGTTTCCTGTGGAAAATCACAAGGTTTTCATTTTTAAGAGCGTTCTAGCCTTTGACTTGACTCTTGGAGACAGAGAGAAAGATGGGCCCGAAAGCAACAGCTAGTGGAAAATCGTACACGCAATTGAATTGTTTTCTGATATTCAAATTGTCACACATGCAGGCATGGTATTTCCCATGTTTTTAAACCTCCATGATCTTTTTTCTCAGTTTGTGCCCCTACGGTCTGTGGTTCTAACGGCGTTTCGCAGGTCAATGACGATTTTCGGGACTAAATGCTGGTACTGTTTCCCAACCGCTGGCTCAAACAAGGTAATGGAAAACCATGGGAAACCAGCATTTTTAGGAGGTAAATCATCCACAAATGGGCCATGGTTAAAATTATCGGAGGGAACCGGAGGGGGTTCGTTTTGATGGTATTCCAATGAAAATGGTCCTTTCCCTGGTGGACATGCTTCTTTGCACAGAAAGCTTAATTTCCAGTACCGTACCCTCCCCGCAAAAAGCTGCTGGAAGCGGATTTGCTGCCGTTCCCAAAGCATACCAAGACAATGTCATCCCATATGTAGATAGATATATATATATATACTTCTGGGTAAATTAGAATATTTCACTAACCTGAATCTTGCGGCCAGCTATGGGGATGATTCCCCTTATAGTAACTATGGTTTTTTAGTGAGGGAGAACAGGGTTCGGTCGTGATGAAATTTACCCAGTGATTCTTGGTCAAATCTCCATAGAAAAGCAGCTGTTCTCCCGTCGGCGCTCCACCTTGACCACATACATGGGGAAATACATCTGGTGCACCTGGAGGGCGCACCAATGGGTTTTTATAGATCGGCGAGTTAAGATCAATTCCACCATTTTTTATTCTCTAAAGCCAAGTGAAAAACCTCCGCTCAATTTTTGTTCGGCTCAACTTCATGCCATTGTTTTTCCCCCTCGCTGATGCGCTATCAGGTTGGATCCCGCTGGGAACGGTTTTTTTTTTCATGATCACGTGGGCATACTGCATGGGATGCAAATACCCTCCGGTAAACGTTTACATAACTGATGGGAAAATCACCATGTTGCATGGGAAAACTATAAATGATGATTTTCCATAGTTATGTTAGTTTACCAGAGGGATCCAGACATCCAGAGGGTAAGTTTTGAGTGGGTCCAACCCCATCAGCAATATACGAAGGTCTGCAACACGCGTTTAATGGTCCAAGTTAGGTACTCCCAACTCGGCGAAGCCCAAATCTGCGAGCTCCTGCATCTTGACAGCATATTTGATAGTTGAACCCTGTTCTTACCGGTATATTTGCTACGGTGCACTCCGGCCCTTTTATTTTCAGATCTGTGAAATTAGTTGAATATGTTGAATCCTTCTTCGTTCACCCCCCAAGAGCTTGTACTTGGTGAGAGGAGAGGAAACGACATGAAACGACATGATTAACATCTTTTTAACCCTCCAAACACCAGTCCCGGCGACCCGACTGCCTTGGCAGTGTTGGCATTGAAGTCCCCGGGAGCACCGCTGCATTGGCAGCCGCCCATGGCTAACGGAAATGGCACAGAAGGGGATGGTGGAGATAGAGATGGCATGTGCTCTAAGTTTACACCCGCTATCAACATGGAACCCATATTCTGTGGCAGAAAGGATCAATTCCTATTCTCTCTCCATCGCCATCTCGAGTTCAGCAAAATCTGAGGGCGAAACAAACTCTTCAATTCCTATTATTGGATATGGCCATTTCAAGAGGTTTCAATTCAATTCTGGGAGTGTTTGCTTGGTGAGGTAGAGAAATGCATGGCTCCCAGGGCCAGGAACCTGCGGTTGGAGCTGGCAAAGAATTGACTGGAATCAATTTGCCAATGGCATGCGTTTCAACCCCACTTGGCCACTTGGTTACTTGAGGTGCGCCGAGGACAAAATATCCCAATCTATCCCAATTACGGTTGGAAGATAGACAAATTTGAAGGCACCCGACAGGCAATGTAAGACTCAAGCAGCTTCGCCAAGACATTTGCACTGCCTTCAGCTGGCTCGTCGCATGAGAAAGGCTTCATTTGAAGGCTTTCCGTCCAACGTCTGCCCCAAGTTTGTGGAAGCGGGGCCATTCAAGAGCCACAGAGTTTCAGTGGGGCGTACTTAGTGGTTCGATATGTAGATTGTTGATGACATAGTGATACTTGCTGACCAAAAAAAAACTTTGTTAGGTGGTTTCAGCCCGAAAGAAATGATCAAACATCAGCCAGGTTAGTCATGCCAGGTAGACATGCAAAAAAAAACAATCAAAACAACACAATATAGAATATAGAAATGATCTATCCAGCCAGAAGTCAATTTCCAGCAGGCCAGTATGTTCCTCGCACATGTTTTCATTTGTGTGCTATTTATGTCCAACAGCTTAGCCTATGGACCCACCCTTAGCGGTTTACCATGGTTTACCCATTTTCGGGAACTTTGGCCCATCAAACTGCAAAAGTCTGCAGAAGCTGCAGCATGTTGACCTCATCTCACATCTCACTGACTGGGCTTGTGGTGGAAGATAGCAGCTATGTACATCCCAACCTCATAAAGGGGAAACTCCTTATAATCGGCATACATGGGTGCGTACTATTTTGGTTGTATACGATTCATGGGGGATGACGTCATCCCCTTGTTTTTATGGGAAATACACAGGTGTTCTCACCATGGCAAACATGTTTCAATTACGAATTGGCGGTTCAAACGGACTGTTGAATAGCAAAATCACCTTCCAGGCTTTAGCAATTCCACTTCGATGATCTTTTTCTGGTTCAGGTAGCATACCTTCCTGAACCAATGCATAGCAAGCATTTTTTTACTACCGATATGTCCATGTTTCAAGGGCAAATCATCTAGATTTTCATGAGCATTTGTCGACTAACATGTTTGATTGCTGGATGGGACATGACGGGACTGGCGATTTCGAAAAATCCTTGCCGTGGATGCCTTTATCGCCCTGGTGAGGGCACAGTTCAGGCGGAATGTCCATGATCTTGACCGTTCTTTTGATCGTTTTGATTATATCCTCTCTTCATTCGATCGATCTCCTTAGAATTCTTGTTCCATATCATATCAGTAAAAAAATGGCAATGGAAAACCTATAATTATGACTTGGAATAGGCACATCTAGGACTTAGTGATTTTAGATGTCATGGATTTTCCAGCGATGCTGTACATGTTTTTACTACGTCAGGGTGCTATAATTTTTCAACAACACGATTGGTTTGCGACACTATCCACATCTGGACACTTCTGAAACGAACACGGAATCAACCATGACATGTTTGTTGCTTCAGGAAGATTCTTGGATGGCGAAACCCTCTTTGGATGGCTAAACGGCTAAACCATTGAAACCCATTATCATTATTCTGATGGTTAACTTCTAATTTTCATGGTTATATACATAATATATATAATATATATATATATAATTCCTCCTAATATTTGATCACTTGAACCCCCGTGTTTGATGGTTAACCACCCAAGACATTATTGATGGACAACTCATGATAAATCCATCCTTTTCCAGTGACATTTAAGGGGTGTCCTCTCCCCAACCAGGACTCGACCAGGAATCGACCAGGTCACGTGGCCATTGAGCCGAGCCAAGTCTTCCGGCAAATCGCCGCGATCGTTGCGGGTCACCTCTGGGACATCTGGACACGTCCAGTGGTCGATCCATAGAAATTTGGGGATTTCACCAACAAAAAAGGTGGATTTCACCAACAAAAAATGTGGATTTCACCAACAAAAAATGCGGATTTCACCAACAACAATTGTAACAATGCAGGTATGAATAGGGATTTACTCAGTTGATTGGCATTTATCCATCACAAATGGGATTTAATGGTGGGGATTTAACCATGAAATCTGGTACAAAGGGAACAAATAACCTGCAACATGATATTGGAATTGCTTCCCCAGAAGATGGATGTCCCATTGGGAACCATTGGAGTGTATGAACATGATTGGTATTGTTCTTCTTGCTGTTGTTACTGTTGCTGTTGCGGTTGCGGTTGCTGTTGCTGGTGGTGGTGTTGTTGTTGGTGGTGTTGTTGGTGGTGGTGGTGGTGGAAGTGGTGATGTTAGTGTTGGTAGTGTTGGTAGTGTTGGTAGTGTTGGTAGTGTTGGTGGTGTTGGTAGTGTTGGTAGTGCTGGTGGTGTTGGTTTTGGTGGTTGTTGTTGTTGTTGTTGTTGCTGCTGTTGCTGCTGGATATAAACCTATTGGATCCTATAGAGGTGTACAGTGTGCACATCTAATCTTCCTGTATTGGTTTTCCTGGGTGAAAGCTACCAGCATTTCCCTGGCTCAATTGTAATGGCCATTTGGGTATGATTCCCCATACATTCACCATCATTCCAGTGACAGAAAACACAGTGAAGTCATGATCAAATTCCTCCAGAGTCTTACGTTTCTTGTATATCCCATTAATTATATATATATATCTAAATAAATAAATATCCTCTGATAATGGTTGGTCAAATTCCCAATATTTACTATAATTCCCTAGGTTTCCCCAAGTTCTCGGGTTTGATCATGGCACCTCGGCATCATGCTCCAAGAAAATCTTGGCCAAAGCTTGGTTTCCCACGAAGGCGGCGCCGCCTAAGGGGGTTAGACCTGGCACAGGTGGCCACAGCTGGCCCAAGAACAGATCTTTGAGATATGGATAGCAACCTCCAAACAAATAGAACAGTAAAATCCCAACAAAATAGTGGAGTATGTGGAGTATAGTAAACTCAAAAAGAACGCAAACTGGTTGATGGTTTCAACCCCTCTGAAAAATATTAGTCAGTTGGGGCTATTATTCCCACTGTATGGAAAAATAGTAAATGTTCCAAACCACCAACCAGTAAAAAGAATGTAAACATCAAAATCCCATCAATGCCATGTTCTATCTTTTTGGGGATGTGCTACTTGGTACATGGGGGTGTCAATCTTGCGCGTACATTGTATGTGAACATGCTACCCGACCCAACCGATAGTGGCATAACAAAAAAATGGATGTAGGTGATGCCAGTTCACTGTGGCACCTTTATAAACATTGACATTGCGATGCAACTGGATACTCTACATTACTTTGCATGCGTTTATGCATACGTAAATAAGCCCGGCTCCGTTGTTAAGTTGTTCCCCAATATGCATTTGCTGCTTGGTTAACTACTTACCCATCCCCCAAGGCCCCCCCAAGGCCCAAATCAACACAGACCCAAGACCCTTTTGGTTGATGTTGGTCCGGAGGATGGTGTATTCCCATTATTCTATACTATTTACCCTCTGGTAAACTAACATAACTATGGAAAATCACCATTTCTAATGGGAAAACTCACTATAAATGGCCATTTTCAATAGCTATGTTAAATTACCAGAGGGATCCAGAGGGTATCTTATATAATCATTAAATCCCCAGCTTGTCTGATGATTTAATCACCGGCTCATCAGCTCGGGCCAGCTGGTATCCCAGCGAACACTTTCGAAGATCGGGCCTGGCAACGAAACCAAGAGCTTCTTCAAGTATGATCCATCTTCCACGCCTGAAACCACAAAATAGAGCTTTTGAACCACCCATCCATGATAGAATAGTACCCTCTGGTGATTTAACCAGCTATGGATAATCACCATGTTTCTAGAGGTACGGCCGATTGCATTTCTGGCCCAATTACAAGAATTCACTGGCCTAATAGCTGACATAAGGCCTCCACACTTTGCAATCGGCCCTACCCCCGCAGCAATTTGGGGATTCCCTAAATCCAAACCACCATTCCAGTGACGCAACACGACGTGAGGTCGGCCCAGAACCCCGGAGCTGGGAAAGTACATCATTGTGGTCTTAGCTCGCCATGTTAGTGGGAAAATGTGGAACCATGATATTCAAAACAACTAGTGACTAGTTTCTGGGTTTTCTTCAAAAAAGCCAGACAAAGCCACGAAAATCTCAATCGAAGGCACCCATGAAGGCGGCGTGAAGCGAAGCAGCTTTCACGATGAAGCGGAAGGAATCGCCCGGGCGCGTCTTGGCATTCCTGAGCACCGGGAAAATATGCAGAAACTTAACCATGACATGAGATACGACTTATATGAATCATCCACTTTAATAGGATTTTCCATCGCAAACCATCCATTTTTGGGTACCTTCATTTTTGGAAATCCCCATATAGTAATCTGCACATACTGATGGAACAAATATTGCACCAGTTGGTAGATGGGCAAAATCCTCTATCATAATCCCATTATTTACAGTGTTTCATAGTTACCAAGTGTTACCAATAGTTACCAACTGTCCATCCACAGAGTATGTTATATATAATATAAATATATAATATGTATTTATATGTATATTTATGTGTCAATATATGTGCGTAATATGCGTAATATACGTTGTGTGTGTGTGTGTTACATTATGTTATAAATAAAGTATATACTAGTAGGAATGGAATTCTATGAATGGTGTAAGACCCGGTAATTACATGTAATTAAGCGTAATTACATACATGGGAATTGTACATGTACACCAAACATAAATGTGGTAATATGTGGTAACTATATCAGTGCCTATGCCCATTTCTGGGGTAGACTAGCACAATTCACAAGTCATGCAAAGACGAGCCAGACACATTGTGAAATTGTAGCCGGCATCTGACTGCTACCCGTTGGATGGACATGTAGAATGTAGTTTGGTAAACGTAGAACAGTCCTGATCACCATTGCACAGTCATGTTGGGCTACTTATGTAAGCTGCATGACCGCTTTTGTCACTTCATAGCAACCTGTGAGCAGCCACACTCCGACATCGCCCTATCTTTGCTGATTCCCATGGCCCGTGTCTGTTTGTTCATCCCGCATCATCCACCATTCTCCACTGAAATAGAGTGATTCCATGTGATTCCCATATTCCCAAGCCTGAAAGAAGCAATTTCTTGGCGGATGATTCCCCCATCCCATGATGAATATGGGGCTTGGTATGGGGCTTGGATGGGCATGGTCTTCCAAGAAACACATCGGCACGGAAGCTCAGAAGCGTTCGAGCCAGGTCGGCAGAATCCAGACTCATCCGCGCGCGTAGGAAAGTAAGGCCGTGTAAAGGTCCGTAGCCAACCTCTGTCACTGAGAGGTCAAAAATCAACGCAACACCTTGACATTTCTTAGTACATTGTACAGTCTAAACAACATTGACTTAATCAATGTTTGTTACTCTCTTCGTGTAATCCATCTGGTTTCAGCGGGTGCTCATTTTGACCATAACCAGTTCAAGTCGGACCAGTTTGTGACTTGAGGGGATACCTACTATGGCGACCTGGTGGCGATTAGAAAGTTGCTCTTTCGAACTGGCGGGATCTGGCTATGAAGTTGGCCCGCACAAGAACCCAGAACAATCCACTCACACATGGTTACGAACATCTTATCCGAAATAACCAGCTGATATACATACAGTATGTCGGTATGTGGACCTGTAGTAGGCCTGTAGTAGACCTGTATAATACATGAGTATGTCCCTGCACTGGGGACTCAAAACCGCCCCGCCAAGAAAAACGTATCTTCCAGAAACGATCCAAAGCGCTGATGAAATATACCCTCAACCATTGTGGCTCAACCCTAGGAGAGGTTGATATTCCCTTCACGGTAAGCAGTGGCAAGCAGAAATGGCCCCAAAATGGCGACAGCCCTTATTTGCTAATTAGCTGCTTGATGCATTCCCTCCAAGGTATCAAACTACCCATGCAAGGTTTCCGGCGCATCTTTTTGGCCCGCTGGGTGTCAGCTCCGTCGCTGGTTTGCTGGACGTACACCTCAGGGTGTTGAGACTCGACATCCGATGGCAAAAACCGATGGATTTAGACCCTCTGGCTATGACTAACAGTTTACCATGGTATAGATGGCCCATAGAAATAGATGGTTTACCTATTAAAATGGTGATTTTCCATGGCTATGTAACAAATAACCAGATGGTATAACCAGGTGCCTTCAAACAAGACTCAGACCACTGACTAAGCCAAGCAACTTCTGTGCGCTTGACTCCCAGGCTTGAATGATCTTGAATCAATCAAATTGTCTTCAACTTTCTAGTAGCATGTCAGCAACACGTGCAATAATTTTGAGTCCCAATTCTGCAGTGTATACCCCCAGTCAATTCTTAAGATCAAAATTGGTGTATAAACCTACTTTTGACTACTGTATATATATATATATGCATCTACTAGAACCAAACATGCAGTAGCACATTATTAACATATTCATATATCCATATATATATATATCCAAAAATTTAATTACATCAATTACAAATACATACAAATACCAGTATCACTGTATATCCGCCATAACACTTCCCAGGTTAAGCATCCTTTTTTCCCATCTTTGGCATCCCATCTTTCGCCTGCGCATCCAAGAGCTCCAGCTGCACGAGGCCCTGCTCACAGCCGTGCTGCGCCAGCGCCCAGCCCTGCCACTGGCCCGTCTGCCGCTCCAGGACGCTGACCGTGTCGTTGGGCTGCAGCGATAAGAATTCCTCCGCTGGGTGAGGCCTCGAGCTGAGGATGAAGCAGAAATATGGCAGAAAAATATGGTCATGCCATGATATGCCATGAAATTCTGGATGTATACTAGAGATTCATGAGAACTCAATGGATCTAAGAAATAAATACAAATAACACATTGAAATGGATGGAACCAGCAACATGCTATTGGATTCAACCAATTGAAATTTAAATAATTGACCATTGACCAGACTTTGCATCTATGATCATCTATGTCTAATCTCCAAAAAAGAACAGGAATTTGAGCAAGAAAAGAACCCATGAACTTTCACCGGCACGAACGGTACGACTTTCAGCATGAACACATCGCCGAATGGTGGGATTTTTCACCAGCAATGATGGGATCTCAGCATCTGAATCTTTGCCAGCAAAAACTGTTAGAATTTCTCAGAGATAAAAGGATTTCACCAGCAAAAGTCATGGCTTTCACCAGCAACAAAGGGATTTAAACCAAAAAAAAACAAAAGGAAATACAAAATCAACGCGAGACTGAGAGGGATAGATGACCATGACGAAAACCCATGAAAACCTTTCTTTTGTCTTGCATTCCGTGAGCCATACCACGGCAATTACATCATTAATTGATTCCGGGACCTGCAAGCGATTTCCAGGGACGTGCCTGAAAAGTGAGATAGACCAAGATTGACACTAAATGGCTTACTGGTGCTAGACGCAGGGAATTTTCGGGAATGATCCGCAACTATCAATAATCATCCCAGCAACTGGGTCAACCATCCAACACGCGGCGTTCACGCCAAGGGTCCAGCTCTCGTCGTGGGCAAACGCTTCACGTGCCACAAATTGACAAATCGCATCGCTGAAGATCCACTTCTTCCTCATCTGGTTGGTGGTTTTAACCATCTTGAAAAATATGAAAGTTGGGGTGATTCTTCCCATATATGGAAAATAAAATTCATGTTCCAAACCACCAACCAGCTAATGAAATCAGCACACTGCGAGTGTTCCAGGGGGAGTGCTCATGCGTCCAATGAGTCAGCGCCTTTCCACACTGTGGTGACTTCGAGATCTTCGAGCTGAAATTCAATGGATAGCAGCAGCATAGTTTTATCATGTTTTATCGCAAGGTTTCCTCTAAAAATATCCCTAGAAACAAGTTGGGAGTAGTTGCCTCTTTGACATTTGGGGCATTTGGGATTTGGGACCCGATGGCTGCCCATGTCCCTCTCCTTGCTGTCTGAGAAAGCTAAATACGCCAGATGAGAATTCAACACGGTACAAGCAATTGATCTGGGAATTGAGGAAGAAACCTTTCATATTCTGAGTTAATTCTCCACTCAAAACGCATATAAAATTGTATATATATATATACACAAAAAATATATGTAGACAACATTATGTATACATTTTTGCTTGTAATAATATAATATATCATAAGGATAATATATATATAGCATTATATAGCGTATACGGCGTATACGTATTAATGATGTACTTAGTAGGCTATTCCCTCGGTGTCCAGGGGCACTGTGGGGCTGGTCAGCGTGTGCGCCACAAAGTTGATCGAACCATCTGGAAATTCCTTTCCCGCCTGGGCGATGGCGATGGCCAGGATGGCCAGGATGGCCAGGATGGCCAGGATGGCCAGGATGGCCAGGATGGGATTAGCCCCGCAAAATCTACGTCAAAACGTGCTAAACCACGAAAAAAACAACGTCTTTTTCCTTTTTTTTGCTGTGTTTTTTATTATGTTCTACACTGCATGTAAAGAATTTCAAGGGTGATGAAATGATGTCTCATGACCTCGCTGTGCGCCACCTGAAGCCTTTTTAGATCTCTTGAGCAGGCCAGATTGCAGTGGAAACATATTTGTGGAGATATAATACATAGTGGAGACGTATACCGTACATATATCATATATAGTAGTTATATATATACTATATACTATATACTATATACTATGTACTATATACTATATACTATATACTACATACTACATACTACATACTATATTAATCTATATTATTATTAGCATTACTATTATTATTAAGAAATAGTTATCAATCAATGTTTGTTTCCAGCGTTTATCTTCATTTCTTCCATCCCTTTCCGACGTTTTTGGGCACGACGGCATGATGCCATGGAAGATTACAACGGTGACAACCCACCCCAGGGTCCCTGTAACTGTCGCCTTCACGAGGCAAATAAAGTCGCCACTTCGACATGGCAAGTAGACTTCGTCACCTTGATCAGAGCTCCTCAGCTGGTCCCAGTCCCAATGAACCCGGATTGGTGAAAACCCACTGATAGGTCACTGATAGGTCATCAGTTCCAATCCAGAATTATGGTTTGAATCCGACTGTCAATCACCCATTGATTTTTGTAGACATTCGCAGAAAACCGATTTTTGTGGGTGAATAACCCGCAGATGATGATGGGTCCTGCTCCTAGCTGCAACTCGGTGTAGAATTAGTTCATATATCTGTATGCATATATATATATATATATACAATCCCACTGGGGTGGGTGGGTTTCAAACACATGACTGTTCAAAAGTTTAAATCGTGGTTTGCCACCAGAAAACTTATGTTTAAACTCGATGGGGAAAAAATCAGGAAACCACGTGTTAACCATATACATCCATATACTGTAAGTTTTCCCAGGAGCGGTTTGATAAGTGAAGAATTTTTGTTATATACGGCACTATAGGTTACTCACATGATCATCAACAAGTTTTACCGCTAGTGATAGGGATAGCTATTTACAACCCCATCTGCAACTGGCCGCACGGCCTGTTCTCCACCCCTCAATGTCGCTGGTAACCATGGCTCTGCTGGCATTTCACCCAAACCCTCATCTGGTTTTCCACCAGCTCCTGTACGGGAAAGGAGTGAATGACAACAAACAAACATGGGAACCAACGAAGAACTGGGTGCCCTTCCCCCTGATATTCACCCCAGTAAAGCCATTGCTTGGTATGGACACTGATATTGCATGATCAGGCTCATACGAACGATTTAAACTTAGATGTATTAGGGTGATTGGCTGAGTCTTCAGTCAGCATTATACACTACCCACAGAAACCGACAGCTTCCTGAATTTGGTCAGCTCTAAATTTAAATCACTAAAAACTACTAGTAGCAGGTGAAGGGGGTTAGAGGGCTACCCTCGCATACGGATTGCGGAGAATCTGAGGTAGCTCAGTGGCTGCGTCTTCTGAGGCCACCAATGATCTGAACAAAAATCATCGCTCGATGACTCGATGACTGAATTTCATGGTGGTTTCCGCTCGTTGTTGGTTGCAATTCCTGAAGAAATGATCTTGTTTAAAGATCATCCCAAAGGTGGATGTTGCAACCAGGTCCTTCACCTCGCGCAAGGACATATGTGTGAGACGTCGGTTCTCCACAGGGCCATTGGGTTTGCTGCTGCCGTTCGCAAAGCCGCCGCTTTTGGCTTTAGGCGCTTCGAAGGGGACTATCCTAGGATGGGCCCATGTGCCCAAAACAACAGGAAAATGTGAATGTTAGTAACCCATAATCACCAATTCTCCCACGCATTTTAAAAGGGTTGCATTTATAACAGATCCAAAAATGGGTGGTTCATCAAACATTACCAACCACCAAGGTGTCCCCTTCCATCAGGTGCCGAGCTACTCAAGTCCTTCCGGCAGCACATTGAGCGTTTGGAAGAACTCTTTGTACTCGATCATGGGGTCAGGTTTCACGTGGACTCGCCCTGGCCGATGTCGCAACAACCCACCCGGATTTTGCAAAATATCACGCAAAACGAATAATATATACATTCATGTGCACATGTATATGTACATAATACGAAACACAAAAACCAATCAATAGTTATCATTTAAGATGGTCACTACCAAGTTTATTGGTAATTACTTTAAATGTTATTAGCAACCATATAGCAAACATAATGAACAGCCTCAATAAATGTATTGCTGTGAAATTGATCTTACATATATATATATATATATGTGTGATTGTGTGTGTGCGTGCGTGCTCAATTCAGATTTAATAATTGTATGTGTATATATATAATATACACCTCAAGCTTCTATTGCATGGAAAATTCAAGGCATTTAAGGTAATGATGCGTTTCACAGAAAAACGCAGTGATTTGAAGTCATAAAATGAAACAAGGCGATCTTTGGAAAAACAGGTTATGGTCATCGTGATTGCCCCATAAGGAAACCATCAATCCATAATAGCGGCTCAGTCCTGGGTTGAAAGCCCTTCTGCTTAATGTCGAGTTAGGATTAATCAACACCGCGCGATTAAACAACCTCCACTGCCCCCCCCCAAAAAAATGTAATTAAAAAACAGCTGGTCCCCCTGGATTAATAAACTCTTTTGCATCGACCTAATTAATCAACCACCAGTGCTGAAATCCTATTTTGTTTTCTTTTCCAACTATCTTTATTTTCAAATGGCTTCCTTATGCTATACTTAAGTTGAAACCTCATGAACACCAGAATCCATCACTGCTGATCATTGAAAGTTTGAAAAAAAACTATTCCCCAAATGATCGATTTCTAATTAAATTCTTTATAAATATCATCAGTTTGGATAGCTCTTAAAGGGTACCCCCCATGAGCCCATGTCCCCCATTAATAATAACCAGAGGGTTCCCCTTATTAATCAACCCCTTCCAAGGGGGCGTTTATTTAGGGGGGACACTAGGAAAGACCTTACAAGGTCAATCTGGCCTTGTCGGGGAGGGGGTTATTAATCCGATGTTGCCATTAGTTGGTAAATTCAAACAGACAGAATGGGCATGAGAGCGATTGAATTCCTTCAAACACGGTCGAAAATGCATCGTTTGCAAAACGACTCAAATTGCTCAGGATTTGCGCGCTTTTGACAGTTTTTGCGCGCGTTTGCGGGATTTTTGCGGTCGTTTTGCGGGTAATTTGGGATGCTAAACATATGCTCTCAATCCCACATTGTCAAATTGTGTCAAAAATGATGGTCCATGCAAGCACCATGCACACAAACATATCAAATAATACAGGTCCTCCTAGAAAGCACATAGGTGCAGCGGTAAGGAAAGGGAAAGTGAACAGTGAACAGAAATGGCTGAGGTGTGGGTGAAACACTGTGAATTACATATTTCATATTCAGTACCTCTTACATCCTCTTACCACATGATTTTCAGGCATTTGAGCCGTATTTTGGGTTCAATCCAAAAAAAACTGTAATTTTGATCATAAACCTTAAATCACTGGAATTTTTGCATCGGAGGAGTTCCGAGGTATATACATACATACATACATTACATTACATTACATTACATTACATTACATTACTTTACATTTACATTTACATTTACATTTACATTTACATTACATTACATTACATACATACATACACTGCAAGAGACATTTACAGCATTACCATGAATCAAACAATGAAAAATACATGTGTGCATATAGCCAAGGATATTACAGATTAATATATAGACTGCATTATATTTTCATATATCTTCATATTGACAGATATAGGTAAACTGGCGGCATAAAGAAATAACTGAATATAGTTGTGAACTTTGAAAACATATAAATATATACATGTATATAATATAGAGAGAGAGAGGAGAGTCTTGGTTTTTCTTTTTGCCTTGGACATGATTTGCCAGAATGATATGGCTGTCGATATTCGATATGGTGTAGCTGCTTATTGCTGCTTGAAAAAGCTTATAGCCAAGTCGTCCGGCACAGCCTAAAAACATGTAGTCATATCGAAATTATAACATGCGGAGAACCTGAAATCATAAGTTCAACCATAATCAACCATAAAAGAATTAGAACGAAATCATTTCGGAATGCATTCAAAATAATAAACCATAATGTTTTGAAGTTTTTTTTACGAGCTTGCTTTGTTTTTGATATGGTTGCCGTTATGTGTGCTGGCGAGGGGGGACCATGAGGGAAGGGCGCAGCTGTACCAAGAAAATGGAGAAGCAGAAAAGCAGGGAAAGGCAGAAAGGCAGGGACACAGAAATCCAAAATACACATTCCGGGAAAGGGAAACAAATCCCAGCCAAAAGGCAATCCTTAAAACCACATTAAAGTAACAACCGTAAACAAATTGTATCGCATTTAAAAAAATAATGTAAAATTTAAACATAACATATATAAGGTGTTGATCAAATCAAGGTATCTGGGGCAGCTACAATCGCAGATCAACCGCGAATCAACTGCGATCCCAACCGCTCAGGGCTAACTAACTATATAGATACTCCTTCAAGAAGTTACAAATGAGTTGTCCAGCTCAGACTGGCTCCCAACACCACATACTCTTGGATGGTAAAATTAGTAGGTAAATATCGTGTCAATCGCCGGAGGGTTCGGTCGTATGCCACACTATTTTGCGCAGAGAATAGTCAAAACATTGCTACATATCACAGTACTTAGAGATATTTAGAGACATGGCGTGAGCCAGGGCCTACTCAGGCGGGTTTAACAATCGCGCAGCAATCGCGGATCAACCGCGAACCAATCGCGGATTTCATCGACATTTTTTGAAAATTGAATTGATCTGGGTTGTTAGGCTTTGAACTTTGTTGTTCTGATTCTTCTTTGCGATTGGCTATCACTATTGAACACAGTGTCTGGGCAGACCTGAATATAGTACATTATGTTACATGCCATGTAATATAGATTTCTCCACTTCCAATAGTCGATTCTTCTACAACAAATGTTTGTCTCAATCGCGAACCAATCGCCGATCAATCACGATGCAGGGTTTTACAATCGCGGATGCTGAAATACACATGCCCCTTCATAACTCTTAGATTTGCATTTGCGATCGGCTCCCGTATACATAATTACATAATATGCTCTTGGACATGTATATATATATCCATCTATCTATCTCTCTGTCTCTTGAATTATATTGACATACATATATTTATATATATACATATTATATACATACAAATGTATTTTATACATAGATATCTAAATATAGATAGATATATGAGCTCATTGATACATATTCCCACATTTACTGCTGATCTCCGGCCCACCTGAGAGTTGTTCCTTGATCTCTTCCAAGTGCAACAGCAAGTCATGCACGACCTCCCCCAAGCTACGAGTAGGGAAAACGAATGAGCATCAACTTAATTAACTATTTCATGTATAGATGTTCTTCCTCCTAAACTGGTGATTTGCCATTTTTCCATCGCTTTGTTGACTTCTACACAGGCTTTCTGTGGGAGAGTCCATAGTTGGGTCAAAATTTAAAGCCCGGACCGCTGAAGATTTGGAGTGATGGAACATGACAGCCATGATAGCAGCAAGCGGTCTAAAAGGATGTGGGCCCAATCCCGTGGCCAATCTCAGATTCCAAGAAACTTACCATCTTTCACTGGATTGGTTTAAGGGAAAATCTTAACCGGAAACCATGGTTTTTACCATCAAATATAGGTCTTTCCTGTAAATTTTCCCATCATCCAATTCTATGAATCTTACATTTTGTGTTGGTTATAGAAGGTATTCCCTTTTATGATTGGGATAAATCATGATAAATTACAATAACTCACCGTGATAGAAAGGTATATATTCCATGATGTTCCCATTTATTATTGGGATAATCGGATAGATTGATAAAAAAAACTCACCAACCTGAAACGAGGGTCATTTTGATGTAATTCAGACAGCTCCCCGAATCCAAAACACATCATTCGCCAAGGTTTTGCCAGAGAGGCACCAGTTCGAAGAGCAGATGGAATTCAACCTGCATGGACGGAATGGATGGATGGATGACACGTATATATGTATGTATATATATATATTGATTGTGTGTGCAGAATATTATATATATATAGATATCATTAATTATATCTATCTATCTATCCATCCATCTATCTATCTATCTTTCTCTTTTTTTGACGAATCGCTTTCAAAAGAAAGTCACCAGGAGACGCCTTGGATGGCAATCCCATCCCCGAGACATCGACAGAGTTTCAAAACCGCACTCGCGCCATGTCTTAGCATCTGATGGTTGCATATCATCCCATCCACATCCTATTGTTATCCTCTGGTAAACTAACATAGCTATGGAAAATCACCATTTTTAATGGGAAAATCCACTATTAATGGCCATTTTCAATAGCTACGTTAAATTACCAGAGGGTATATAAAATGCCAATGCAATCTCATGAAATTCCACTCAATTTAGCATCGTTTTTGTGCTCATATTTATCAATACCATACTCGCGCGCAGTAATATCCATTCATACCCACATTCAATCCCATAAAACTCCCAAACAAAATACAATTCAAGTTTCCTGATACACCACATGATCCATATGTATGTCAAATCATCATCATTAGCATCATAAACCGAAATCATTATACCATCTGGTTATTTGTTACATAGCCATGGAAAATCACCATTTTTAATAGGTAAACCATCTATAAATGGGCCATTTCCCATGGCTATGTTAAATAACCAGAGGGTATAATGATTCTCCCGTAACCTAACATCGACCCTGCCATGAGCCGGGGCTTGAGGTGACTTGAATTGGACTCTACATGGGATAGAAGCTGGTTGATCATCACCGTGATAATATGGATTAATATGGGAATATATGGGATCATCACTGGGATCATATTGGATAATCATATATCAATAATTATCAATATATATATATCATACATACCATACATACTGCTTGAAAAGTGGATCATCAGCGACATAACCTCACGCGCCTCGCCATCCGGGATGCCGTTCAGAGCCGGCGCCTGGCCCGGCAGAGGGCCGCACCTTAGATCGCGACAACCACGAAGTGCCGCCGCCTAAGATGCTATAATTCCATTGAATCATCTAATTGGTGGTTTCAACCCCCCTGAAAAATATTAGTCAGTTGCTATTCCCAATATATGGAAAATAAAACATGTTCCAAACCACCAGCCAGTCATCTTTATATGGACAGTAACATAGTCCATCAAACCAAATTACAATATTTCACCAACCTGAAAATACCCTTTGGTGAACTAACAGTTCGCGAACTGGACAAATTACAATACCCGCTGGTAAACTAACAGTTCGCGAACTGGAAAATCACCATGTTGGTAAATCAACTGTTTCTATGGGCCATGTTCCAAATTATCAGAGGGTAGCTGAAATGTTGGGTCATTTGGGGATTGCCTGTACACCATCATTCCAGTGAACATGTAAGATGCTTCCAGTCTAGAGAGGAGACCTGAGTCAGCCACCGGGACAAGAATCGCCGAGATAATCGTGATCTGATTGATCTCTGGATAAATTATGAAAGTACATTTGGATAAATGTATGCAACTGTATGCATACATGTATATACTAACAGATATTACTTACATGTACTGTATATCAGTGCTCGTTACTATCCATCATTGAGGGTGAGCTCCCGCCACATCGACCGAGCAAGGCACTTAATATCCGAAGTTCTTCCTGGGCGGACGAGTAGGTCCGTAGGTCAGAGCCCTATCTCCTTCAGGAATGTATCCATTAAAGTTTGATGACGTACACACGTGTTTTAATACAAAACCACGTGCATACGTGTATATATATATATATATATATAAAAAAAAACAAAACTAACTTGAATTTGACACGGCTTAATGTGATAGCACGTTCCAGCGTGCCCAGGCTCTCAGGATGTCTTGGTATGTCGGACTATGTCGGACTTCAAGTGGAAGTCAAGCGCGTCTGGTGACAAATCACATACTTCATCATGAGACGTTCGAGCTGGTACTTGGCCACCATTGGCCACCTGAACCCCCATCCTACACTCACAACATAGAAATTACTCTCTGGTAATTCAACAGTTTGCTATTGAAAATCCATGAAAATCATCTATGAATGGTGTTTTAATGTGTTTTAATGGGAATATATATCACCTACTGATGTCGATTATTCTCCATTGCTATGTTTGACTACCAGAGACTAATTTTCAGACACACTCCATTTCCATCGTTCCGTCCTTGATTCCCAAGAGTTCACCATTTTTCATGGTTAAAACATGTTAAATCCCATGATATCATATAAGACCCCTAAACATCTATTAGTTGATACATATTGATACCGGAAAAAGGTGCCATTGTGATCCCACAGTTGGTACCAATATCCCATATCATCCCTGTTTTGACATCAAGCTTCGCGATTGGGGCACGGACTTTTGCCTGTCGGTGACCATCCCTTAGGGTGAATCACCAGTGGATGGGCAAATTGGGGATTTTTGAGTCACCAGTGAAACGGAGAAACCGAGAATTGGGGATTTATCTGGGTAAAGGCCATAAAATTTCACTAACCTGAATCTTAAGGCCAGCTATGGGGATGATTCCCCTCATTAACCATGATTCCCAGGATATTCCCAGGAATCGGGAGAACAGGGTTCGGTCGTGATGAAATTTGCCCAGGGCATTTATGAATACCAAAACCGAGAGGATTTAACCCGCCAAATTTGGGATTCGATCAGGGAAACTGGTCTGACTTTTCTGGGGGTGAAGCAAGCAACAAACATGGGGTAGTATACATAACCATCTGGTTATGACTAACATAGCCACGGAAAATCACTTTTTTAATAGGTAAACCATCTATAAATGGGCCATTTTCCATGGCTATGTTATATAAATAACCAGAGGGTAGTATACACTGTATCTACACCCTAAAACAATGGGATTCCAAATAAACATAAATAAACCAGGGTTTGACTGGCTTCAAATCGGTAGAATTCCATCCTCCCGGCAAAACATCCCTAACCGAAAATGAACAAGCCCATGAATTACTCTTGCAAAACATTCCTAAAAATAAATGAACCAAGATTAATGGGCTTCTGCAGGGAGTTTAGAATTCAAACAGAACTACCCTCTGGTAAACTAACATAGCTATTGAAAATGGCCATAGAAATAGTGGATTTTCCCATTAATAGCATGGTGATTTTCCATAGCTATGTTAGTCATTACCAGAGGGTAGGGGGACGGCATCACCGTCTGGAAGATCTGGAAGGTCTTAACTCGCTCGAATGGGGCACCCTATTGGATCCACAAAAAAAAGCGCTGGCGACGTTTTATTTTGGTGTTGGGCTATATGAATCTACATGAATCTATATGATATATGTATATATATATATACACATAGTGGAAGTAGCGGGAACAAGCATGTTTTTGAGCAGCGAAGTTCTGAAACCATCAACTTGAGATCAACTGGAACAAAACAATTCCAGTGTCCAAAAAAAGAGAAGCGTGGCGATTTCAACCATCTTTGAAAGATCGCTAAGGGATCTGTAGCTGGGCAAGCCTTACATGCCTTATATTCCGGTACATGTCATCCCCCATTTCCAAGGATCAACACGTGGGCGCCACCTTTCGTCATTGTGTGGGTTGAATCTCCAGTGACCTTACCAGTGACCTACCAGAACGGTGCCGCGTCCAAAAGCGAGTAGCGTTTGATATGCTCACGGGGAACTGGCAGAAGATGTTGGCCAACACACACGGTGTAGCAATCCTGGCTCGCGTGTGTTGAAAGTGGGAGACTTGTGTGGATTTCACCTATCAAAACTTGATGGAACTGGGGGCTGGATGTGTAAAACCGAAAAAAGAGGCTACACTCCAAATCCTTGGTGGTTGAGTTTAGAACATCACGTTCCCCATCAACACGTCATTTTGTGTGTTTAGGTTCCAGGTTTGGACACGGACCCAGCTGGAGGACAGCTATCTGTGGTAGGGAACCGTAATTCCATAAAAGCAAACAAAAGCGGCATACAGTTGTACAGTGGTACATTGACTTGATGGTAGTTTCAACAATCCAAAAAAAGAAACAGGTCAAAGACTATTGTCCAAACTCTGGATGGAAAGCGTCAACCAGTCAGTTGAACCAGTCGGGCAATATAGTTGGCCAGATAATACCTGAACAATCAGCCATCCACGCTTCTGGTCAAGTGCAAGCTGAACGAGTCGACGTGGACAATTACTTGCTCTCATGGGTTCTCATGTCTTTTTAGCAGCTTCACATTCTGGTTGGTGGTTTCAATCCCTCTGAAAAATATGAAAGTCAATGGGAAGGATGACATCCCATATATGAAATGGAAAATAATCCAAATGTTTGAAACCACCAACCTGCATTGAGTATACCACAGTATCTAAGTAGTAGGGAGATGGCCCGTGTTGGGCCAGTGACACGGTATGACACGGTGCTTTCATCATAGATTGGATGACGGGTGAATTAGCCTCCAATCATCACACATGGCAATGGAAAAATCTCGGTCAGTTGGGATGATGACATTCCCAATATTAATGGAAAAAATAAACATGTTTCAAACCACCAACCAGCCTATAAATAGCAATGTTTCAATAGCTACATGAATTCACTGGAGGCTACCTTCAAAACGAGCTATTTTTGGTGCCAAACATGACCTGCTTCCCGTCCTTCAGCAGGTCATATTCCATGGTGCAGCCCGTCTCACCCAAAAAGTTCTCCAAATAGCCGGGCAACGAATCCTGACGAAGCCAACAGCATCGAAGTCTGTGGGAAAAAGTCAGCAGGGCAGTGGCCGCGAACCGGAACATCATCGTTTTGAATAGCTCAATGAAAGAACATCAACAAACTAAATGGCCAGTTTTCAATAGATGATCCTGTGAATGGTATAAGATGGTAAAAGTATGTATAAGATGTATAAGTGGTATGATGTGCAGTGATATTGTGATCCCTGGAATCAGGCACTTCAAATTGGCATGGAATCATAGAGTTTGAGAGAAGACAATCCCCGAAATGTAAAGTGGAATCCCTGGGTTGCGGCTAATAAGGGCCAGATTTTTGAAGCCTCAACGTTGTCTGTTCAGAGAGCAGAAAAGAGCACATACAGAAGGGATTGGCAACAGGACCACGTCTGAAACAGAAAAGGCAGTTCGAAGAAGGCAAGAAACGGCCAGCTCCACTATTTCATGAACGCAGAAACTGTCCTTAGCAGTGCCGGCACAGCTCTATCGCAGCAAATGAATCGAATGAACAGCTCTCCAACATTCATACTGCATGAACTGAAGTTTAAATTCTCTTCGGTAGATTTCAGTGGTACAGTATTTTCGTTGTGGACGACCGTCCCAAGCTTTGTCATATAATATTGTACAAACACAGGGATCCTTGCGTAGTGGTCGTAACGGTTGCCCTTGTTCGAAACATGACTCGCTAAAAATGGCACTGTTTTCCGGGGCCACAATTCGGCCCTGCATGGCCCTGCCGGGGCTCAGCGCTGATGGGTTTTTGCCCCAGCATGGGAGCCCACAGGCCATCATGGACCAGCAGCAGTGCCTCCAAGGGGATGCGGAAGCGCAAGTCGTAGCCCACCGAAATGGTAAAAATTGGGATTTAGTGGTGGTTTAATGGAGACTTGATGGCATTTCAATGAGTTTTAATGGATTTCATGGGATATGCAACCAGATTTTTTTTTTATCATGGGAATATCATGGTGGGGATTTCAATTTGGTGGTGCCGAAAATATGTTTCCCAATGTGCCCAGCCCAGGAGAGAGATTTTGGGTGCCCAAATTTGACCAATTGACCCATCCATTGGATCCAGTAACTAATCAATCATTGGGGATACTCATCTTAAATAGAGCAGTGGAACAGTGGAACATAATTGAATCCATCAGCCAAAAAGCCAATTGGATGCTAAAGAAAATCTTGATAGATCTTGACCTCATAAGTTTCCCGGATGCAAGCATGTGCTTTTTCGATGCTTGATCTATTCTGGGCCGATCAAAAGGGTTGGAAAACAAGAAACAGTTTCCTCCTCTCTTCATAATTTGATAAACAAACTTGGCAGTGAAAGAAAAGACTGACAAGAAGTCCCTTGGAAGTCATCTACAGCTGGTCTGGTGGATTGTTCTACAGTTTTCCAGTGCCAGGTCAAATTATTACAGAGTAATGTTAGATATGGGTACCCATATAGCAACGTACCGCCGCGTTTGAGTCAGAGTATTCAACCCCAACAAGAAAAGCTTTACTAAATAATTTACTGATTGATGCTATGTGTCTGGAGGATGTGGAGGCCACATGTGATATTTCAGATCACTTATATATCAAGGTAAATTTATAATCATATTTCACTAACCTGAATCTTATATAATCTTATAAGGCCACATTTGGGGATGATTCCCCTTATAGTAATGGTTATAGTGAGGTCGTTATATTAATAGTTAGCAGTTAGCACATGTTAGCACCAACTTTGGCCGGTGACTGGGATGACCACTGGGATGACCACTGCGCGATTGCCATTAAAAAAAAAAAACATATGCACCAGCAAAACCCGGCAACTTTTTGGACAAAACATAGATTTTATGGATTTTCAGTGCTTTTCATGGCATGTGCATAATCTAGTATACGTAGTTTTGTGTTAGTCGTGTCGTAAAACTCCAGAAAAACAACTCGAAGATTCCTCTTGGTGTTCGAGATTTTCTCCACTCACCAGGTGACCGGTACCCCCTATGCCGGGGCACAGGTGTCGAGTCAGGCATGGGAATTCCGAAGGTCACCGGCCGACGATTGAGCTGGATGGCTGTCACGCGCGTCTGGCGTGGCGCGCCCGCGATCCGTTGTTGGTACTCCAACAGATAGCCATTGAAAGGTGGGAGAAAAATGGAGAAAATCGATGAACATCTGAAAAAGTGAATCAGATAGCCTCTTGTTATTTAACATAGCGAACTGGAAGCCATGGCCCATAGAAATAGATGATTTTCCCAGATAGAAACCTCCATTTATGGTTGGGATTTTCCAGCCTGCGAACTGTTAGTCATAACCAGATGGTAATCAATCCACCTGGTTGGTCTGCGCAAAGTCTCAACACAACACCAGGAGGACAGAGCAACTGGATCTATGGTGATCAGCAACAACATGAAGCACCCATATGGAATAGACATGAACAACACATAGACTCAGGGCAGGAAATTGTTCGGAGAAATTGTTGCTTCTTTTTTAACTTACGGGAGACAAACAAACCGCATTTGAACAAACAATCATAAATCATCATAAATTCATATGAAATTCATATGAAATCACAATCCCTAGATTATTTACACAGTTCACCATTTTTTTTGGTACTTCAACAAACTGATTTTCCACTGCCAAACACGTGCGCCAGCAGATATCTTTACCACCCCGCGGCTTCTGTACAGTGCGCCTGGAAAGATTGCGAAAGGACTTCGAGGTCAACAAAATCCATCGGCATTCGCCTGATTTTGGAGCGGAAGTGTAGGATGTTGTAACTAGGAACCCGTCCAAAAGGCAGAATTTTCTGCGTAGCAACCCCTCCTAGAATAGAAACGTCAAGTCTTATTAATTAAAATAGTGGCCGATTACTTGTCTATCTTTTTGATACACATATCAAAAGGTTTCTGGTTCTGCAGGTGTTCCTTTTTTTCCAAGGGCATGATTGGGCCCATCAGTCGCAAACGTATTCCAGGTTGATATAGAGGCCCCTTGAACCCATAGGTTTCCAGCAATTCAATCTATTTGGGGCAGTCATTTCAAGCAACCAATGCCAATACCAGGAACTACTTGCGTGCCTTGTCTCTTGATATTTGGGTCCTAATATTCTTAGATCAGCCTTGTCCCATCCAAGCTACACCAGCGTCTCTTCAGGAAGTCGGTTCCACTGATTGTGGTCAGAGGTGAAGTCGTGGCTTTCGAAGCTTAAGCAATAGAGATACCAGTTCCAGTGCTTCAGCACTTGCTCCACATTCCTGGGTGAAAACGGGAGAGGAAGCGCGGCCTGAAGTCGCTTGGAATCGGCGACATCACTGCGACAAGATGCGACAATCAGCGACTATGTATTATAACATTTGGGGTTCATATTGTATTTCAACTTAAAAAGAATACATACACTACTATAGTGTAAATCTAAATGAAATTAAGCAATATCACACAATGACCATAGAAATAATCCTCCAGTTGCGCAGCATTTGCCAAGACACACGTACCTCGCCAGATGGAAGTAACTCAGGGGATCCGTCAACTTTCGTTCCGCCGCCTCCGTCTTGCTGCTGTCATCCAGGTCTCGGCGGCGACCGTTGCGACGCGTGGCCCGGGAGTACGCCGGGGGGGGCCGTAAGAAACGCGTGGTTTGTGTGTGTGTGTGTGGGTGTGTGTGGGGGTGTGTGTGTGTGTGTTTCTGTGTATGTTTATATATGTTGATGATTATGTATGTTTATGTTCCTGTACATTTATGTATGTTTATGTATGATCATGTATGTTGATGATTATGTATGTTTATGTATGTTTATGCTCTGAAGCTTACATTCCTATACAAAGATTGTGGTTCTGCATAGTATCCCGTGATATCTCGTGATCTTGGACATTGGAAAGATCAACTTTGGAAACCTGAACTGGCCATGTCCTCTTGGGTTCATTTGACATCTGAGAAAGGGAGCCACAAACCCGCAGCGGGTTGTCCTTGAACACTGGTTAATAAGATTGCCCAACTCATGGGCCTGGATGATGTTAATCTCCAATATATTGGATAGTAAAACCAGGTATAACCCCATATAATCATCAAATAAAAAGGGTTTTTGAGCACTGCTCGACCCTGCTCAAATATCTGAATTCCAAGGCATTGGTTAACTGGATTTATTGATATATCTATGTGAATAACGCTACAAATATACATATTTGTCATGACTACATAAAATATGCCACATGTCTCATGCACATGCAGCATGTATGCATATTATGTGAACTATATATCTAATGTAACTATATATTATGTATAATTGTGTATGTATCAGTGTGTGTATGTCCGTGGCGGTGTGTGCATATATGTATGATAAGTAGATAACTTATATAACTATATACATCTATTTACACACTGTCACATCTATATGCCCCATATACACATATATATATAATAATAACAATAATAATAATATATCATTTACAACATATACATATATAATACACTTACCATGCCCATCCCGTTCGCGAAATCAGCGGCTCATGTAGCAATGGATCAAGGCCCTCCGCAACTCACTCTCAGTCACCTGGCCCAGGATATGCATCCCCTGTGGTGTCCCAGCCAACGTGGTTGGCTCAATGGTACCCGGCCTGGTAAACATACAAAAAACTATGGAAAATCACCATGTTTATCCATGTTTAACGGGTAAATCAACTATTTCTATGTGCATTTTCCAGTTCGCTATGTTAGTTTGCCAGAGGGTAATAACTACATCATAACCCACAAATATGTGGGATACCCTAGCAAATATATATATATATAATATATATATATATACGTGTATATATATATATATATATGCATATAATTAAATATATATATATATATATATGGCTTATGAACCACTTGCCAACTGGGATACACCCTCAAGCCATCCCCAATTTGTGGATTGTCCTACTTGGCAAATGGAACACCATGTTTTCCAGAATGAGTTTTTCGGATTTCAGGTTTCAACCCCCAATATAAAGGCAACATATCATCCCATGATGGAATATCAACCATGTTTCAAACCGACAGTGAGTGATGATCTGTACTTCATGTGTGCCATGGTCGTTTGTTACATGGTCGGGGTATGGTCATCCCGTTACCATTCGGGATTCCCCCGATTCATCCCTACGAAAAAATGATTCATGACCATTCCCACCTTATCTGGTTGGTGGTTGAGCCTACCCCTCTGAAAAATCTGAAAGTCAATATTAGTCAGTTGGGATGATTATTCCCAATATATGGAAAAATATGGAAAATAATCCAAATGTTCCAAACCACCAACCAGTGATGATCTTATGGGAAGCCTCGCCATGTTTTGACCATGGCACTTGCGTTCCAGCTTTCCAACTTGCCGTAACTTGCCTATTTTGGCCATAGATGGGGAAGGCCACCCCCTCCTAGTGCTCAACATGTTTCTGTTGAGCCATACCATGCCCATATATTGGTTACCCTCTGGTTATTTAACATAGCCATGGAAAATCACCATTTTTAATGGGAAAACTCACTATAAATGGCCATTTTCAATAGCTATGTTAGTTTACCAGAGGGTATATGCGAGTTTTGGATCTTCACCATGGTTAAGCCACGCCAAATCCCCACGAATCCCCACGATGTTCTCGTCCAGTTGTGATTTTTAGATATTTTAACATGCCCGGTACTCCAACGTGGCAATGGGAAATCCCCAAATGGACAAATCATGGAGAAATCGATGGAGCTCATCGCCAATTTCCATCATTTTCCACGGCGAAGCCGCCCCCAAATCGGGCCCCAAAACCATCCAAAAGCCATGACTCTGGGTAAATTATAATATTTCACTAACCTGAATTAGGGCCATTTTGGGATGATTCCCCTTAGTAACTATATGGTTATAGTGAGGTCGCAGTGAGGTCGTTATAATTTACCCAGATGACTGACACCTCCAATCCAACTTCGCAAAATGACGCTTTCAGCGCTTGCCAAGGGCAGCCCGCGGGCCGGGTATCCTCTACCTAGATCGGATGAGAAACTCTGGAGATCTTGTGATGTGACCGGAGTGTAACTTGTAACTCAGCTATAGCAGCCCCTAAAAACGATAGAAAGGAACCACCAATTTTACCAGGACTCTCCCTCTCTATATATTTTTTGGGTTGCTTCGTTACGTATGGTTATATTAGAAGTATCTGCAAAATTTACTTTAAATTAAAAACGGTTTCCTCGTCTTAAATCTACTTTTCCCCTCTGATTAAATCTTCAGTCCTCGCCTCGTTACATTCAAAACGGATTTCAGCCCTCGTCCCATTTCTTTCTCGACCGCAAGCCATTCGAACTAGTCCTCTGCCTCCTTCTGGGTTGAACTTTTTTGAATTATCTTTGTCGTCGTTGCAGCAACGCTCTGGGCTCCAGAGGCTTGGGGATGCTGAAAAAACTTTTCAGGGCCTAAAAAGTTTTTTCCTGTTTCCGAGATGCCTCTTTTACAAGCGGATTTGCAGGGTCTCGATTCCTCCCAAATTCGACCCCAGAGAAGAGAAGCTGCAGCAGCAGTACCAAGATACCCCGCTACACCTCAAGCTTTAGCAATTTTAGAATCTAGTCGCGCTACCTGGGAAAGGTGAATAAGAACTATTGACCAAAATTTCAGGGTTCCCTAGGGTTCTTATTTCAATTAGCTGGCAGACAGAGTTGAATCCAGCAATCCAGCCCCTGAGGTTCTTAATGCAGTGGGTTCTTAAACAGTGGTTTCACTGTAGAACAAATACGGAAGTCCTGGAACAACCGGGCATGCCACCACAGGGCACTGACTGAAATTACGATAAAAAAAACTTTTCGGGCTCCAGAAAGTTTTTTTCACGGGGTCTGAATGCACCCTTAGTTTTCTATTTTTTCACTCTGATGGGAACAAAAAAACTTTCTGGAGCCCGAAATGTTTTTTTTCACTCGTTGCACATGCTTTGAGCAATTTCTGCCCACCTCGTTTTCTGAATTTAATTAAATCACCTCGCTTAAATTGCAAAGATTCACCTCGTACCTCGTCAGCCCTCGCTCTAAATTATGCAGAAGTATTTATGTATTGCTTAACCTCACCTCACCAGAAAACAATCAGCACCATCCATGAGAATCTTCTAGGAAAGTGGCTACGAGGTGAGCAACCCCTTGTGTGGTCACAGGAGATTCCTTCGACATGGACAGAACTCACTGCAAGAGGTTCATGAAGGGCCAATGGAGCAGCTATAAATGACATTGGAGAGATTCCCCTAACCCAATGAATAATGAATGAAGCACTTTCTTGTACGTGATATAATCGTCAAACCAGGAGGAATGAAGCCCCAGTTTACTTATTTGGGTGATTCCATGTGGTCTTCAAATCTGTATATAACATTCCACTTATACGCGTTACACCACTATAATAAAAACTGGTTGTTTATCAATCCTCTATTGACATTCTGGGGACTACCTATATTCCCCTGCTCCTAGGTACGGTCCCAATTGTACGCTTCACCTCAGAGTTGTTTAGATGTCATCATGAGAGAATCGGGCCCCAAACTTTCTTGTAAATGAAAAGGTCTATACAGTATTCCAACCGTCGCACCGAAAGCTGGGGTTGAAAATTGATATTCAAACTTGGGGTTTATTTTGCCCATTAATTATCGATTTCTTCGTCACCATCTCCAGTTTTTTGTCTGCGCCAATTTTGCCAGCGCACAATGCGGTGGTATGCATTGGAGGCCCATCGCTTCAGAATGTCGAACAAAACCTTCCTGAGTTGCGTCAAGATTGTTCGGGAAAAATTGAGGGCCGGAGGGTCCGTATACATCCGGATGATGAAAATCCCTGTCTTTCCTGTAAAATTGGTTGTTCATACACATGGTTAGACATGGTTCCACAAACACCTCTGGAAATCGCACTCTCAGCCTCGCAAACAGCACGAAATCAAACATGGCTAGCTGGAAAATCCCCGAACTAGATAAAAGGAGGTGATCGCTGCGAAAATCATATACAGTATCAGTCTTGTATTTTCCAGCTAGCAATGTTTGATTTCCAGCGGGTAGGGTAATAGCCTACTGAGTAAGCACTCAGCTCACTATAGAATATGGTTTAAACTTGATCTACTCTGGTACCGCTATATAGCTATAGAATGCTATAGAAGGTGGCCCACTAATAGACGATCTACCATGATTTACCAATCAAAAGTCGTGATTTTCCATATATGTTTAAATCATTTTAAATCACCAAGGAGGGTAGTTGCCTTTGGTTTGCGGAGTCCAGGGCCTGAATTAACAATTTGAGGCCCAAGTTTTACACCTCAGGTCTTTAGCTCTCAACGGCCCCATTTGTTAACATCTCACACACTTCCCAGTACTGGTCCAGGACTCTTGCCACGATAGCCCTTCTTGGCAATTTTCTCCATGTTGAGGAAATCGATTGGTCTAAAAGCTGCCCTCTCCATGGCGCGTTTCGAGTGGCGAGGTCCCCCCCCCAGGTCCCTCGCGAACGAAGCCCCGCGGGGCAGGTGCCGGCCCCTGCCGGTCACTGGCAGCCAGGGGTTCGGAGAGGCAGTCGGAAGAATCCTTTCCCCTGTATATATTTTGAATACCGCCCAGCAATCCCTGGTGGAGTACTGATCTATTCATGCTTCGGGTTCCATACGGGCGGTTTTTAATGGTATTTATTGTTGCTGGAAAGAAATTGAAACAATCAAACCGATTCAACATATTCAAATGGAAATAACAGCAGCATAAACTATATATATATAAACACATACGATCAAATGCGGCTGAAATATCATATATCACTTCTAGCTGGCTCTTCTAGACATCAACAAAGTTCGCCAAATACCCGAACACGACCAGTACCAATACCTGGTGATCCTTCGAATTGGGTGGTCATCGATGCCAGCACCCAACAAACCCCAATCTCTTCCAATATGAATTTGCGGATGGGAAGCAACTGTTCCAGTCCATTCATTGGTTAAACAATGTTAAACATTGACATGTGACGTAGTACTGTAGTCAAGCAAGTTTCTACCTACCCTCTGGCAATTTAACCGTTTGCTATGGAAAAATCAGCATGTTGAATGGGCAAATAATCGAATGAAATGGGCCATCTATGCCATAGCTATGCAACAAATTACATCAAATTACCATAGGGATCCATAGGGTACCCTTCACCATCGCAGCCCCCATCACCGGCCAACACGCCGCAATGTCACACCGAGAAACACCACGACTGGGTGGGTTGGCATCGCAGCGAGCTTTCAGCATGGCCAGCACTGTCTCTTGGGTGGACCTGGGCATCCCAAGGGAAACTGGAAACCTGGCAGAAAAGCCTGGAAAATCCGATTGAGTTCAGATGAGTGGACTTCTAAGAGCACCATTTGAGGTGGTAATCGAGAGCCACTGCTTATTTAAGGTATGGGGAATCGAGAGCCACTTGGAGCTGCCGAGGATTCATCTTAAACAGCGAGGATCATACGTAGTCGTTGCATCCAAAGGCAAGGGATGATACGATCGTTTCCAAATGGTGCAGCTACTGGTGCAGTGTCCAACACATTGGTTTATTCGAACAAAGGGCACCGCAAAGCTTGGTATATCATCGTCTTCATCAAATGGAGGTTTCCTAAAATGGGGGTACCCCCAAATCATCAATTTATAGATTGATTTTCCATTAGAAACCCTCAATTTTGAGATTTTGAGGTACCCCCATTTAAAATTTTAGGAAACCCCCATTTTGGTGTGCTTGGTATACCCCGTTTTTGGACAGTTCCCCCAAAATGTGGTTGCAGCAGAAGGCGCCAAACCACAGCACCAGTCAGAGGAGTCAAGCCCATCGGCAAGCAGTTGGAATGCCTGGGGCTGCGTTCACACAGCATGGCCAGCGTCTTGGAAGGGGGACGATAGTGGGGATGATACGAGTAACATTAACCTGTTAGACCCTAGGCTGTCACTGGAACGAGGGTAACCCCCCTAATTTAATAGAATATAGAGGCTTCATGATTTTTCATGATGTACGACTGAAGCCGACCTCATCCCTCTCCGACAGAGGCTTCTGAAGATGGACAAATCAGTAGATTTCTGTTGACACGGTGGGGGGACCGTTTTTGCGCCTGCAAGCTACAGCCAACTTGGAGTCCAATTTGATCTCACCATGACGTCTTTGCAAAAATATCACCCAGGGTTTGACATGGAACTCTTGAAAGACTACCTTTTCACTGGAGATTCTCCTCCCAGCTGACCGATTTGCCACACCCAATCCCAGCTGCCAATACCAAATGCAAAAACTAAAAAATCGGTCACAAATGCAAAAACAGACCTTGATGGCTGTTTCAACCTACCCTCTGGTAAACTAACATAGCTATTGAAAATCACCATTTTCAATGGGAAAATCCACTATTTCTATGGCCATTTTCAATAGCTATGTTAAATTACCAGAGGGTACCTCCTAAGTGTTCACGAGTCATTTGGGGCAATTGGGATGGACCGCTTATTTGCATCGAGTTACCACGAACCATCACCAAATAAGGCCAAGCCACAAGTCTGCTCGAGCCCTCCTTGGTTTGCGAAGGCTTGGAAATGGTCAATTAAAAAATGGAAAACTAAGATGGGACCCTTCAAAAGTTGAGCCTGGGAATGATGGGAATGATTTTTGTATATTTTTGTTATGGGAAATCAGCGCTTTGAGGTTCCATGTTGATCTTCAGGCTTAAGGACTGACGAACCAGCTGCTAAGTTGAATGCGGAACCAAGTAGCCCCTGGTTTAACAAAAAAAACACAACTATTGGTGCATGTTTTCCTGCATGTCACTGCTCATGTCCCAAGGTTTTGGGTATATCCATATGTTTATAGTCTGTTTATAGTCTATTCTTCATGACCCCCTGGGGGAGTATATGAGCGGTAAGTGAAGAAGGTGACAGACCATGCGCATGTTGTTTAATATGCGTAGTATGTTTTTTCTATGGAAAAATGGAGCTTTCTTAAGTCTGTATCTGCTGCCCCAAGATATCTGTCTGTTTCCATGATCTATGGCTCAGAAAATGGGGCAATGGGCCCAGACATTTAATTTCTGTTTTCTGAGTTTGTAAACTTAGAAATTGGGGGGGTTGTATCTATGTCGTATCCCCATTTAACATCCATGTATGTATACAGTAATACTATGTAATATTCCCATTGAAATGTTAAATCCCAGGTAACATAGCTAGACATCCCTGTTGAATATGGATGAACCTGGTGAAGTTGATATGAATCTACGTAGTGAATTCGCGTGGTAGCATGATATGATTTCTATATGCTTATTATGTAAACATGGTACCCTCTGGTAAACGTTTACATAACTGATGGGAAAATCACAATCTTTAATAGGTAAATCAACTATTTCTATGGCCATTTTCAATAGCTTTTTGTATGTTTACCAGAGGGTATATCCCATTAATATCCCATTGAATCACTATAAAATCCCATTAAACCACTTTAAATCCAATGTTTTCCCCATGGTTTATTAATATGTAAACATGGTAACATCCCTGATCTCCCGGTCTCGCCCAGCGACAGGAGGACCTCCACATGTTCGGGGGACCGGACCACGAAACCTGGTCCCCAAAAAGAGATCTTGTTGGTGTAGGAAAAACATGGAAAAAATAAAACAAAACATGGAAACACATGGAAAACTTAAGCGCTTTGAGGGTTCTCAATTTCAAGAAACCAACCTTTTTATCTCAAACTTCAATATCTCTGGAGTGGACAACAGGCTGTGACAACAGGCTGTGACAACAGGCTGTGACAACAGGTATCAATTTGTCCGGGCGGACGATATCCAACAAATTCAACTTGTAGATCATTTGCGGCCAACCTTCGATATTGTCCCAAATATAGCAAACACAACAAAATAAACCGACTTGACTCACTTGACAGACCAAGTTTAACCGCGAAATTCGGTTGAACCACCCTTTTTGTCACAAAAACACGTCAAATAAGTTTGACCTGTTGGGGATTCGCCCGCCTGAGGGACCAATCAAATTGCACTTGATTATCCAGAATAGGCAGCAAAAGACATGGAAACATATGGAAACCACTTTGGAAATCACATATAGATCTTTACAAGAGTCAACCTTGGGCGTGTGCTCCAGGATTACAAAATCAATGACCTTAGTATTAATCCCCACAGGATTGTTGGATGGTCATGGATGGTCAGTGTACGAATACGCACCCAAGATTTCCGAGTTGGCAGAATTCCCATGTCTTACCCTCTGGTAAACTATATAGGAGAGCTATTGAAAACTACATAAAACTACCCATTTATAGTTGATTTACCTATTAAAGATTGTGATTTTCCATATTGATGTTAGATTACCAGAGGGTACCTAAGTTCGCGGCTGCGCATCACTTACTCCAGGACACCACAATTCAAGCCCACCCTGGTTGTGGCATGGACGTCCGCTCGGAGGTCAATCCTTGGCTCTGTCTGGCTGCCTGGCCTTGAAATGTCATGCCGACTGGTGACCCCCTCTGATATCTCTATAATACTCTACAATTGGGAAGAAATTGGATATGAGGGGATTGACCCAACAAAACGCTGAAACGCGAGGGCTTCATGGCTTCAAAGATGGGATGCGAACCATGTGAGAGATCCGAAGATCAAGGGGACGCAACTTGACCTGTATAACTTGACATAACCAGCATCATTGGGATTCTGATCAAGAAGAAGATGGGCTTATATATGGATATATCAATCAAAACACACATCAAGAATGGAGATGTTAACCAACAAGTCTTGGTGATTTGATGGGATTTAACCGTCATCAATCAACATGGCTTTGCACAAACAAATGCGCAAACCCCCAAGAATCGGGGGATACTTAGACAGAGACACAGGCCCACTTTTTCAACATGAACGCCTGAACAACAAAAATATGCTTCTCACCAATCACCAAGACTGCACAGCCGCATAAGCAAGAACGACTCAGATATGTCGATGGTTTGAACTGACTTTGGGCATATCATAGCATGTCCAAGTCAAAATTTGCCTTTTCTGGAATTAACAAGCCAAAAAAATAAACTATCCGATGTCGATCTTTCTGCAACTTCCAGGTTCCTTGTGGTGCAACTTCGATTTTGGGGAAAACCTGTGGGATATTGCCTCTGGTTGATATCTTCAACAAATGGCTGTGGGTCATCCAGGAGAATGCACTGAGGAGACATGGCAACCACCAGCGAAGAAACAAATGACACGTTGTTATTCTTTGTTGCTAAAACCCCCCCTGGTCATCCAACATGGCTAGCTTTGAAATCCCCCAATTATAGATGATTGTCCCATTTAAACACCATTTATATATATATACCTAGAACCCATCTGTCCCCCAGAAATGGGTCAGACCCGAGATTCTCACAAAGTACGGCCCTCTTTGAAAAGTACGGCCCTTTTCCCAAACACCATTTTTTGGGAATTTCTGAATTCATGAAACATACCCTTGAGTTGTCAACACTGAGAGATGGAGAAGATACTTTGTCAATCTTGGCCACATGAAATATATTAATATATAAAAATACGCTTCTCATACAAACTAAAATGGGTTAAACCAGCACCGCCCTCACTCGCTCGTCCGACTTTTGGCCTGGACCCCAATGTCTCAAGCAAGTTCTCTGAAGCTCTGCACACAGCAGCCCTGTAAGAGTAAGAACCAAAAAATGTTCAGGTATCTAAGATGGTACATTGCATGGTTAGTATGTTAGTCGTATCCATCATCAGGGCCATCCACAGGCAGCTAAACAACTGCGCGACGCGTAGCAGCAAACAACCCCCGCTGATCTTTATCAGCTTTTTTCAGAAATTGCATAACGGAAATCAAACTTCTTTGGCAAACACGAAAGTGGACCCGCCTAGGAGCTACCCGACGGCTTAATCGACTTGGTCGCCCAATCCAATCTTCTTGCATTTGCACCGACTCACTTAATGGATTAATAGTCCATGTTGTTCCATCCTCTTGGGCCCTTTGGGACTCCCTCAACAGTTTCAAAGCACCATGGTGCAACATGTGTAATTTCGGGATGATGGCGAAGCGATTCAAACCACGTCGATAGACTATGGAGACTGCTTGCGAATACTTTTGCAAAAAAAGAAGCCATAACTTTGAAATCTTCAAGGCCCTGGGCCATCGAATGAAGAAGCCTTCATGGTACATAGCCGATATTGCTGTATTCATAGCTGAAGTTGCAGTCACCTGGGCAAACCAACAACATCAAATGGATAAAACCCTTGGGCTTCCCCCCAGAAAAAAAACAAACACAAATTAAACTATTGAAACTTTTTGTGGTGGTAATCAACATCTATGTTTATTGAATAGGATCAAACACCAAAGAAACAATCCCAATCCATCCCAGTGGCAATGGTTTGAAGCAAAGGATCATCCCCAAACTTGTCAGACCATATTTTGCACAAATACTCGAGAAACAACATGTAGTGAGTACTTGCACTCCCTTTGTTCCATGACCCAATAGGGCAAGCAGTTGATTGGTACCAGTTTAAAGAGTCCCGTCCAAGTTCCTCACAGTGTGGGCTAATTCGTTTTTCTTTGCAAAAGCGTTTGTACTCTGCATTCAGGATTTCAAATTTGTCATCCATTGACCCAACCTCAAGATCCACGTTTTCCAAGATTGAGACTAGAGCGCTGGCAACATAATGCTTGGCAACACCTAGGTGAAAATTGTGCCAGAGGTCTGTCTTGAAGAATTGCCACCTGTTCTCCTCTAGCAATGGAACACCTTCCAGTATAGCAGGCATTCCATCAAATGCATCTTGTTGACCCAGCGTTCCTTCCCAAAGAGGCTTACCCGAGGTGTCTTCAAATGGGATAGCAGAGATATTCTGGGATGGATTGGACTCACGACCAGCACAGCACATCCAACAAATTCCCTCACAAGGTTTCTTTGATGCTGCTTTCTTTGGGACATTCCCAAACGTATGATTCATTCTTCCCAGCTTAGCAAGAGCTGGGAGGTCTCCCTTTGTCCCCAAATGACAGCACCGAACCTGAATCAGCCCGTCCGTACTGCTAACACCGTTCAACAATAGGTCCTCCATGTCCCTGGCATAGACACCAACCAAACTATGGAGGATCTCCGGGTCCTTCTTGAAGAACTTTCGCAGCATGCAGCTGAAAAGAAAATTTGTTGTCCAAGTATGGCCACAAAAATTGAGACCAAACCCATTTCTTTTCAAAGGTAGCTTATCCTTCGATTTCTTGAGAAATGCCCTCGTTCCACGGCCTAATGCCCCATGAGTGCTCAACAGCCAAAACGCTTGTTTTTTATGGCCCCGACCCTCGTCGGAATGACTATAGACTGGGATAACCCATTTCAGGTCTACTGTACCAGCATCCCTCATAGCGAAGATTTGGTGTTCCGGGTCTATGGCTTCATAGCGTAGCCAGAACTCTTGTAGCTTCACTTGCATACTTTGTAGATCCGCACAAGCACACAACTGTTGCGCCAAACGTCCAGAATCCAAAAGATATTTGACCCATGTGGAAAACTTGATGTATGGCCAATTCTTGAAACGCTTTGTGTCAGAGAGGTCAACCTTGTTAATCTCAACTGGGCATGATAACTCGTGCTTCACCAACACATCATGCCCCCGTTGTTCTGCATCATTGGGCCTAACCGCTGCAAACTCCCGTAAAGCCTCGCTAGCTTGAGGGTTCTCAGAAACTTCGGCTGCAGCCAGCTCAACAACATGGCACATAGGTTCCTCAGCGAACAAGCGCAGGTGTGTGGAAGAAGTTGGTGGGATGATGGAACATCCCAGGGGTCAGGGGTGGATGAGTGAAGTCAAAGTGTTGGACACCTGCCACATGTACAAAAGTTAAACCCTGCACTTTTACAAGAATACTTTTTTCCTCTTTGCGCGCGCCCCAAAATTGTCAGATTTAATTTGCGATTGCAATCAGCCGACAGCTCTAAATTGATCAGCTCTGCAACCCACCACATAAAGGTAAAACGGAGGCTTGGGAGGTGTAGCCCGATTAAGAGCCCCTTCCCCTCCTGATTCCGGTTTGTTCCGGCACCCCACATGAGAACTGAACAAAGCTATGCATGCAGCCTCCAGCATTTGAATAGTGTCAGCACTTTGAGACACTGAAATCAGCCACATCCTGTCATACCCCTTTCCAATGTAATCAGCATATCTTTTGATGGGGTTGGATGTGACTCCCAAGTTAAAAACGCACACCCGGACCCCAACTGATTCCCTAAATGCCGTAATTTGTGCCCTGGCATGTGCTAAGAGTTTGCCACATGAAGACACAGCACGGGTAGGCCGAACACAATGGTTCAAAAGACCATATGGTCGAACCAACTGCCAGTCAAAAGAAGATTCCGAATCAAATGTCTCACCCAGCTCACTTAGCAAAGCAGCAACTGCATCACCACTGTCCTCAGATACAGCCGGGGAGAGGCATGGAGAGATATCCTGAGAAAGAACAAAGTTTGGAACCCAAAACACATTCCACCCAAATCACATTGAGTCCTAACTGATTTATGGTAAAGTATTGAACTTCCATGTTGGATGGTTTGAAGTGGAAAGCAAACAACCACGGTCTTAAAGTTATTTGTGTTCAATGCTGGTTTCCATCCACATGTATATGCATATAAAGAAAAACTACATCTCTATATATGCACACATAAAGGCATACTGTTCCTGCATGCCATGGCGCTAGATGGTGCTTCGGCAGGGGATCAGGACTCGCAACGGTAGCACGGTCTGGTGATGGGTCCATTGATCTAGTGAAATATTCCATGTGCGGGTCCACATCATCGTCAATCAAATTGCGTTCTTCACTTGCTGCACTACACCTAAGATACCCATCAAAATCATCACCGAATCCAGTGTAGGGTTTGACACTCAAACTAAACCCCAGTTTGACCCACTGGCTGGCTTTGAAACAAGACACTTCACAGCTTTTGGACAAGGCCCTTCAGCAGGCTGCATAGATTCGGCTGGTCGCTTTGAAGATGAGGCATTGAGAAGCTCTCCGAACCAATCATCCATGTTGGCAGTGGCTGGCAAAGGTATTACTTTAGTTGATTACGATTTCATAACACATATATAATTCTTAGACAGGTCAGAGGTGAACTTATTGTTTTATTTATCAAATGAGGTAGGCGTGGAATACAACCCTTTTTATCTCAGAAACAGGTTTCAGAAAACATATGGAGACTTTGTTGCATGCTTTCTTTCATAGGTCGAATTTTATGTTGAACCAATGGCTGAAAAATCATAGAAGTAGCAGCTATGGCTTTGGCTCAATAATTCACCTTGATCAAGTTGTTGAAGTGTCACACTCTATGCAGGAGATCTTTGAGGAAGAGACGCCTCGAGCAGCAAAGTTGGCAAGATTTTCCAGGACTCGTCCGGGTCCATTGTGGCGAGCACCTGGCATGAATTCAATGGCCACTGGTTTTACATGCATTATATAATTGAAATTACATCAGCTGAGAACTGTTTCATTTTCCCACCGGTGTTCGATCTTCAGATTGTCCATGGAATCCGTATGTTGGATCCATGATCGCACGTGCGAAGCACATGATGTCCAAACCCCATTGAGTGAAAACATGATGCCATTGAGCCTCAGAATGGGGCCATCTTTCAACTAAGAAAAGTCCTTTCAAATTAAAAGGTCACTAGGATTCATAGCACAGCACACCAGCAACCATCACGGGCCACTGGGAGGCTGCCCCCCGACTCAAGCCCTCAGGATCACTCGTCATTCTTCGTCACCATCTTCAGAAGGTTCCTGAGCGAGAATGGGGCCAGCAAGGGAAGCATAAGGGATCAGGAAATCTTAGTTCTATCAACTGTTGGGGCATTGGGGTGCATTGGCCAAGGAAATTGAAATGATGTTGAAAAAACACTGGATCACTGGTTTGGGAAAACATTCAAAGTGCGGCGAAAGTCTTTGCAGTAGATTCAGCCGTGGTAACCTTTGCACACGCTTTCTGGGAGCGCTTGATCTGTTCCTCGACCAGGCCCTTCAACCTAAGTTGTATCAGCTGGATCAATGGGCCATCATTTTGTTCACATGAACCCTTATGGATACAGTATCTATATTTGATAGGATCCTTCCAAACACATAAACATATATCATATAGCAGTCAATTGAAATCCCACATCAATTTAACATCAACTGTTTGAGATATTTTGAGATATTTTGAGATGGGCTACCTCTCGATCTCGGGTTGTTTCAATTTCCCAGTCTGGAGGTCATTGACTTCGGCCTTTGTCAACTGCACCGCTTCGAACTGCTCTTCAAGGATTGCCACGGCACCTTCTATGGTCTTCTGGGACCTAAGGGCCGGATGATTTGTTTTCTCTTATTTGTAAGGCCAGTGCAACTGTGGAGGCCATCATTTCATAGTGAATAGAATAGTGGACACAGGTTGTTTCAGAGAAAGTGATTTTGAATCTAAGTCAGCCACTTGTTGACTCTGTCACGGTGTGGGCTAGACTCATCTTGTTTCATCGCTTCATCCAACTTGCCAGACAGCTCATTCAACTTATTGACTTTGGTCAGCATGGCATCACCAAACTTCTTCAAAGATTGGTATTCCTGCATGGGTGCATTCAGGAAATCCACAAAAAATATATTCTAAAATAGTCTTGCCGTTTTAAACCAATAGGTCAAGGAATGGGTATGACAGGGTATGATATGAACATTCACTCCTGCGCCCCATCGTTGGCTTCGTCAGCAGTGTCGGGTTCCGACTCTTCTGGAGCCTGCTCAGGAGCCTGCTTACCCTTGCGCTTCTTTGGGTCCAAGGCCTGGAACTTGACCTTTTTTTGGATCTCCTGTCAGATTCAGATGGTTCAGCACTAAGTCATTGAAAGGTACCATACACTAACATGTACAAAGTCTTTCGTATTCCATCTTTGTCCAAATGTGTTTCAATCTACTGCCCAACAGAAGTTTGCAAGTGCATGTGCATGCATGCAGCCCAATACACACAACAGTGGAATAAGATAGAGTCATACAATTTCATTTTAGCAATAGGTCCAGTTGCCTTTTCACAGCTATACCATTCAGATTAAACTTTGACTCTTTTAATCAATGGGTGAATGGAAGGAACCACCATTCCCAGATGTCCCCAGTCCTTGCTGGAAGTCTTGATCTCTCGCTCCATGTCCTCGTCCAAGTCCGAGTCGCCCTCCTCCACGTCAACGTGGTACTTGTTGATCTTCCGGTTGTACTTGTCCTTCCTGACCCCGTGTATTCAGAGTAAAGGCTATTAAAGGGTCATGAATAATGAGCATGGGAAACTCCTTGGAATTCAGGTTATATATGTACATGTCAGGCATACCTTATTTGGTCAACCGCCTGGTTTTCACAGCACTTCTCATGCTTTGTGTATTTGAGATTAGGGATGTCAGAGTTTGCATTCTATGCCAAGACTCCGGACCAGAGACTCATTCCCTTTTTTTTCGCAGAACTTCACCACGTCTTTGATGTATTGCCTCAGTGATGAAAATAAATTCCATTTCAGTTTAAGCATGCAGGGCTAGCCTTATAGGAGTATAGGAGGGCAAAATCAACCAGCAGGTTTAACTTGTGACAGCCACATTCCCTTCAATAGCTTCAACTCAGCAATTTCAAAGACCATTGAAGTCAACTTTGATTCAAAAGTGGAAGCATGATCCTTTCTAGTGATCATTATATTGCAATCTTTTTAAAGAAACCAGGGTACTTTGACCAACCCAGCGTTGTCCTCATCATCTCCTCCGTGAGCCAACGTCTCTTCTTCGTTCGGGTGCTCTTGTTCAGCCTTTCACTTTGCCGCACCAGACGTGTCAGGAATGCATCCTGCCAAATTTCAGCGAGCAGCTAGATTGGAGAAAGAAGCGTGGGCCCTAGACATCTTCAGGGTTCTTCAGGTATGCATATTCTTCAAAAGTATTCAAACGTATGATCAGTTTCTAGGGGATATAAGAGTCATTACAATACATTAATTATTGTCCATACCATTCAAGAACTGATCTTGGAAATCAAATGCAAGACAGAAGAATCCAATACTGTTATCAAAATAACAAGTACACCTTTAGAGCATTGCATGGAAGATTGAACCAGTCCTTGTTCCATCCACTGTTTTCCAATTCATCTCGTAGCTTCATCCTCTCAACACCCCCTTTTGCCCATCTTTCATGTACATCATTCGGCACATGGCACCTTCCTGACGGCTTTTTTTCACACAAGCGCCTCAACCGGTTGTTTTTGGCAGCTTCAGTGGGTTCCTTGTCTGACCCCTCGCAACCCTTGTCACCATCTTCCGACTCCCCCGAGGCATCAGCATCGGAAGAACCTTCCGAGGCTGTCACTGGGGAGGGAGCACGCCTTTTGGGATTTGAGGGTGTCTTCATTGGTGTCTTCACTGAAGCCCGGGATGAATCAGATCCCTTGGTGGCAGCATCCAACTTCTTCTGCATAGCTGCGAGCTGGGACATGAGATCTTTGTTGACCTGCAAGCACATACCATATTCTTAAAATATAAATGGTCATGGCCCAGTGTTTGGCTAACAGATATCTTGCTCCTTACTGTATCATGTGGTTTGCATGAGGCTTTAAAAACACAAATGGTTGAATCAACTGTACTGTCATCAAAACAGGTAATATCAGGTAATGCCAATGATAATTGGGACTAGGCTTTAATGCCTAGTAGGAGTAGGACTGGTACAAATCCCACGAAGTTGCTTTGGGCCCCAATGATTCAACCCACTCCATCATACAATGACCGGTGTTTAATGAATTTTCCCTAGGCATGTACATGTGGCCATGGTAAACCTATATGCCGGGTTAATTGTAAACCGTTTTGAATCCTAGCAGGGAATGTTTCCCAACCATGAACTTTAGAACTACACAGGGTCCAAAACCGAAGTTTTAAATTGAAGGCAGCCCTCTATGGCAAAAGAAACCGGGTTGAGTTCCCAAGACATACCTTTTCCACCGGAACCCACTCCCAAAAGCAGTGTTTGAAGGGGACAGGCACCAGAATTGTTGTTGGGTTCCTGCATAATGTTTTTTTTAATGTACTAAGCATCAAATTATCAACCCTACAATTACACAGTAGTGTTCAGAATATCTGTATTTCCCCGACAAAAGGAGTTGTTTTACCACAAGATAGTTGCTATTTAGGCCACAACCCAACCATAGAGCTCCACCACCAACAGCCTTGGCAAGATCATCTGCAGGTGTCGATGCATCCAAAGGAGAAGACTTGGAACGGTGGCGCTTGGAAGGCTGGGAAGGACCGGCCGGGGCCGATGACGGTGCTGGAACAGTCTTCTTAGCAACAGGGGCCACATGGGTTTGACTCTTGCTCTTAGATGCAACATCACGGTCCTTTGAACGTGCATCATTCTTCGGGGGATTGGTCTTCTTGAGATTCTTTGGGTCCATCGCAGATTTCTTTCTGGCAGCTGCCAACTCCGCTTCAGTTGCCTTATTGGCTAATGGTTTGAGAAATCACTCAGGAAGGGGCAAAACAAAAATGCAAGTTTCTAACACCACTCGATTTGATTAAAATATTTATCACACATGTTGTTCACTGGCCACATACCTTTGTGGAACATTTACCCCACAACATCTTCGGAGTACTAGCTGATGCCAATCTTTGTTCATACCAAGCTGCTGGTTGGGTTTCTTCATCAACTTCACCCTGGTGACACATGTGGCTGACAGGTTTCATATAATTGGGGCACATCCCAAGAAAACAACGGTTGCATATCAAATTTACACCTGGCCTCAGCATCCCCATCTTCAGCATTCTGTTGCTTCAGTGAGGCAATTGCCTTTTCATATTCCTACCATGGAACATAGGGAAATCAAATCGGGATTGGATACCAACCATTGGAAATAATAACATATTGAAACCAGAAACTGACACAAGACGGAACAAAGTGTCCTCGACTTTCTTCTGAAGTTCTTCTGGGTCCATGTGCTCTCTTTTGACTTTCATGAGACCACGGTGACCATTCTGAAGCTCAGAACAACTATGTCTCTTTGATGGTAGCTTGCGAGGGGGAGCAGACTTCTCCCTAGACCCCATGGCAGGCCGATGCAACAGCCTTCAACAGCTCACCCAAGGCTGTTCTGCGATTGGATCTCAAAGGGCTGTGGAACAAATCCCACTACAAGATGGTAAAAGAAATGTTCTTATGAAGAAATATGTTGTAACCACCAAACACCAACTTATTTGAAAATGGTTATGCTCAATTTCTACCAAAACATCACAATGTTTGGCAAAAATGTCAATGTTGGGGTATATACAATGTACGGGAAATGTACGTAAAAAGTACGGGTTTTCATACGGAAAAATCCGTCCTTTTAGCGCATATTTCCGGCTTTTGTACGGTGTACGGGTTTGTACGGGGTACTGTACGTATTTAGTACGTACAGAGTACGTAATCTGTCAATATCATAATTTCAGTATGGTTTTGTAATTGTTGAATGAGACATGTGTTAGGATAACTACTGACAAACCCTTGAAATACCCAATCAAAGTAAAACCATCCTACTTTCCCAGGTCCCAGGTCTACCCAGACAGAAACATTTCCTTTTCTGCAACAATTGGTCCCTGACCCTGGCTGTTTGCCAGTCATCATGCCAGGAGGCATTTGAATTATCATGAATTGTAATATGGGTCTTTGAAATCTAAGGAAGGAATGTGGCCAATGCCACATGTTTGTTGCTAGAAATTGCGTCACCTCCATATGATATGGTCACATATGGTCACAACGCTTCAGGGAAGGAATCTCGCCATTCCCCAATGTTGAGGTCACGATTTCCCCGAACATAAGCTAGGCAGGATACCATGTCAGCATCCTCCCAAACATCATCACCCCATGGCAGGCCATCAAAGAAATCCTTTGTTTCCATTTCGGCAAAAGAGGCAGGGATCTCTGGGGCCGGGGACTTGTTCTCCACAAGAAAGGGAAAAAGCTTCACCAAGCGAAGGCCAAAGTGTGGTGGATACGTCCTGGGCTCTCAACGATGGAAATTGAAATTAAGGGATGGAAATGGGGAAATCCATGTATGTTTATACAGTTGGCACTGGTGCATGCAGGCATGAAAAATACTGGTTGGTAATTTGACCCACCATTCAACAACATATTTATTCGAAACAGTGTGGGGACCACCTGTTGCCTATCCTTTTTCATGCTTGCATTCAACATAGCTATGCCAAAACATATTGCATATCGTTGCATTCCTTTCCAAATAATGCTATGAAAACGAGAAAGAACCAAGAACCTGCCGCATAGTGATTGAAAACTAACAATTCAGCCCCCTACCCAGTAGCACGAAGGCTTGAGGTGCCCGAGTAAGATTTCTTGCCCTTCTTGTTGGTCTTCACTTTTGCACTCTTCACCCCAGTGCGACGGATTTCCTTTCGTTGATCCTTCGTTAGGGAGCCTCTATCCAAACCACCGATCTTCTTGGAATTTGACCAGCAGATATGTCGTTTAGGTGTGCATGACTTGTAATGACCCATCCACCATCGGCAGACATACACCTGCAAAGGTTTTTTGTCCCCACAAGATTCAGTTCCCAAAAGTTATGTAAGCCAT